TCCTCGATTATTTTTTAGATTTGATCTGGCCTTTGTAAGTATTGCTAGTCATCGATTATTTTTAATGGTTTGGTTGTTATTTTGTTGTATGCTCATTTGATCTGTTTGGCGGCTTATAAATGCAAAATAAATAAAAATTCCTCTCCAGAATGAAATGAAGGGGGCGGTGTTAAGAAAGAGAGCGTTTCCAAAATAGCACCCCAACTGTGGAATGCAGTCTCACTGGAGATGGAGGTTGGTGCCATCCCTGCCGTCCTTCAGGCGTCAACTACAAATCTTCCTGTTTTGCAATTACTTTGATGGATGTACTGGTCAGGTTTTTAATGGGCTTTTAATTGTTAATCACTGCTGTGATCTTAGTGCCAGACATTCTATTTAACAAGGTATGATGCTACTTTATCTTCTTAGGCTGTTTTAATTGGGTTAATATTTCATTTTTTGATTCTCTTACTATTTATCTCCTCGGTTATTTAATTGTATTTTTAATCTTATTGTTATCATCTTCAGTTTTATTGTGAACTGTAGTGTATTATATTGTTTTAATTGGCTGGACTTGCTGTGAGCTGCCCAGAGAAACTTATGGATAATGGGGTAGCAGACAAGTGAATGGATAAAATACTAATAATAAAATAATAAATAATAATAAAATACTAACAATAATGGCTTCAAGGAACTGCAAAGTGTGCATTTGGTGACGATTTTGCATCGCTCCAATATCTTAGGTTTCGGATAAAGAACTGCAATAGCACAGAGATTAAAAGTCTGAAGTACAAACCTCAGCAGTCAAATCAATCTGAAGGACTGTGGGACATTTTATATATTTTCTCTTGGGAGTGAGGTATTGAAGCTTTGATCCTGTTCTGTTGCCTCTTTCCAAGGTCAGAAGTAGAAAAATAAGAGTGGGGAGTTCAAAGAGCAAGGAGTATACTAGCAAGATACTTGCACCTAGATAGGTAAACAGTCAGTTGAGTAAAATATGTGATATGGGAGGATAGCGGGGCTACAAAAGCTGTGCAAAACTTCTAAATTGGGAGAGTTATGACTATTGAGTGTTTATCCAAAAGATTGAGCACTTATGTCTGTGAAGTAAGATACTCCACCTCGTCTCCCTTGTCAATATTTAGATTTTTTTTTAGAAATAAGTCTTGTTTTCCTCAAAGGCTCACAAGGCAGCTAAAGGAAAAAGCAAAGTATGCAGAAGTTGTGAAAAACGCAAAAAAGCAATAAAAGTCCCACCATGGACCAAATGCCTTCTCAAAAAGGAAACTCAATGGGCAGATTTAAGATGAATAATCATACATATGACCCATGTGCCATGAATTTGCTTGCATTATCTATTTGTAAATCTTTTAGCAATGCCGCTATTGATTTGCAAATGCACACTGACAAAAGATGGCAAACAATCAATTTTGCATCTATGGCCATATGCAGTGCAATGAAGGCAGTGAAGTGCTTAAATTTAGTTGATTCAAAGCATCAAAAAGGCCAGAAACTAATCTGAGGGTTAACCTGAGTTGCAGATATTTTCTGCAGACACTCACGTCATAGCCTGATAGATGGACTCCACTCCGTATCTCATGGCAAACTCATCCACAATCTCCTGGGCCGTTTCATCAAAATACACTTTCCAAGCATCATCACCTTTAGCATCTGGGATTTTTACCACGCCGTTGTTTTGGATGTCCGTCACAAAATGGAAAAGGTTCTAGCACAGCATTTAGACAGAGGGGGGAAGTTTTTAAAACTTTAGGTCACAGCAATGGAGAAAGCTGCTCCAAGAGAAGAGCAGAGAATGTCTACAGCAATGTCACGTGGAGCTTTCTACATAGCTAGACAGATGAACTTCTGCAGAATCAAAGTGCTTGGCAGTTGAGCATCATGTGGCCAGACTTCCTAGTGCCTGGCATGCTGGGATTCCAGTGTTCCAGGCAACTGAGATCAATGCAACCCCCAGGTAAAAGCTCTTCAATGCTGCAACTCCGATCAGGTCAGCTTTATGTGAAGCAAAAGGGGCCATGTGGGAAGAGGGCAAGGGAGAGGAACTGGAAGGACACGCTCCGGCCATGTCACATGCCAAGATGTCCTCAGGCTCTCAAATCCTGGAATGGGCTTATCAATCAAGACAAACAGCCAAGCTCCCCCTCCCCCCATCAATTCTGAACCTAGCTAGGCAGTGCCCAAGGGCAGGAGGGATCCAAGGGAAGCACTTCTCTACCTGTGCAGGTGTTTGGGGCGGGGTTGCACAACAGAGAGCACAACGACTTGCGCCCGCTCACCTCATGGAGGCAGGTGTACTGGACATGATACGGTGCAACTTTCTCCTCTCCTTTGATCTCCACACTGATGTGCAGCCGGATAGCTCCAGAGACGGCTGACTTGTCTGTCCGCTTGTCTGAAAAGGTGCAAGGGCAGAGAAAGGATATGAAGAGCAGCGTAGGTAGTCAATTTTTATTATGCTAGTGGGGAGATGCAGAATTATTTTCGCCACAAAGGGAGCAGAATCTCATGCCTGGGATTTACATCTTCCCTGGTGAGCCCCATAGTGGAAAAACTTTATATTTTCTAGGCAAGGTTTGTCTGCTCAAAAGCTGAAACTGCTTGCAACAAGAAGGACATGGCAGTATGGACATGACCTTGGACAATATCCAGAAAAGCAGGGAAATGTTTCATGAACACACAAAGTGGAAGAGAAAATTACTAGAGAAAACATTGGCATTTAATGGCTTGCGTGATATAAGTCAACTGATTTGTATCGCAATCTGAAAGCTCTTCCCAGATAAGCACATGAAAACGCAACTCCCAAGGCTGGGTTTGCAGAAACAGAAGAAGCAGTGTCTTCTCCTAGGCTTTTGTGCTTCTGTGCCAATTTTGAGACTTTGCTGGAACTATGGCAAGTGGAGAGCCCGGTTTTGCAAGCTGAAGCCCCTCTTGCTCCCCTCTCCCCAGGCTCCAAGACCCCAGGCAATGTAGACCTTTATTGGTACTTCACAGCTAACAAGACGATGCAACTCTAAAAGCCCCCTCTCAGGCTGAATGATAGCCTCTGCTCATGTGCAGAGCGAATGAGCGTGGAACCCAAATTGGACAGTTCCCCCACCCATTCTCTCCCTTCATTCATGCTGCAGGATCCACCCTTGTGGCAGCCAGCCTGCGAGCCTGCAAAGGCCCTCTAACTGGGTAGCTCGCCTCTCCTGACCCCTTGTCACAGGGTTTGGGGATCGGGCAGGGCAATGGCTCCCTTGCTCCTGAGAGGCTTCTCTTGTCTTTTCCAAAACAGGTCTGGCTCTCACAGTTGGCCTCAAAAACTGCGGTAATGGGCACGATGGGCTTCAACGGCTCCTCCCCACCCTGGACCCTCCGGCCCTCCCATTGCCTCTTCCATGGCATCCTCCCCTTCGGAATCTGATGACAGAGGCCCTGAGAAGGCCAGCAAAGAGGGACTCCCTGGCCAAGCACTAATGGAGTAGAAGCTGCAATCTCCCTGGGCCAGTGCATGTGCTGTGGGCTTGGAGCTGAGCCTTTGGGAAGCTACCCATGGGGCTGGAATCTCCCCACAACGCCTCGTGGGCACTGGAGCCAGTCACTGCAGATACAGAGCATCAGCAGTGCCACAGAAGGGCGCTGGCCCTTTAAGAGTTTAGGAAAAAGAGGTGGTGCTTCGGAAGAGTGGGTGGGCCACAGAATCTCGTCTCCTCCACCCTTGTAGGATTAGCTGGAGCTCCCCATGGTCCTGGCATTGGCGCCCTCCATGGTCCTGCGCAGGAGCTCCCCATGGTCCAGGCTTTGGCGCCCTCCATGGTCCTGAGCAGGAGCTCCCCATGGTCCTGGTTTTGGTGCCCTCCATGGTCCTGCGCAGGAGCTCCCCATGGTCCTGACTTTGGCGCCCTCCAGCCTTTTGGCCTTCTCGGAGCCACCCTTCCTCAGAACTCGGCCGTCCAGGGTCCGGCCTTGTTGATACTGCTCGGCCCAGTATGTTTGGCACTTCTTACCAAGGTTGTACCAGACATCCATCTCTCCACTCAGCGTCCGGACTTCGATGATGGTCTGTCCCAGGAAATCATCGGATTCTCTCTTAAAGCGCTGCTTCACCCGGGACTTGATGTCATCATCTTCATCCCATACTCGAACCTTGATCCGATCGGAGGAATTATGGCATTCGCTAAAGGTGGAGGAACGTGGGAAATGGGGTGGAGGAAGGAGACAGCATCATGGATGTTGTTGTTGTTCAGTCGCAAAGTTGTGCCCGACTCTTCATGACCCCATGGACAATACTCCTCTAGGTTCTCCTGTCCTCCACCATCCCCTGGAGTCCAGCTAAGCTCACACCCACCTCCCCAGTGACCGCACCAAGCCACCTCATCCTCTGCTGTCCCCTCCTTCTTTTGCCCTCAATTGTTCCCAGCATCAGGCTCTTTTCCAGGGAGTCCTTCCTTCTCATTAGGTGGCCAAAGCATTTGAGTTTCATCTTCAGTATCTGGCCTTCTAAAGAGCAGACAGGGTTGATCTCCTGCAGTACTGACTGGTTTGATCGCCTTGTGGTCCAAGGGACTCACAGGAGTCTCCTCCAGCACAATTCAAAGGCCTCAATTCTTTGGTGCTCAGCTTTCCCTATGGTCCAACTATCACAGCCATATGTTGTTGTCGTTAGTTGCAAAGTTGTGCCCCACCCGTCATGATCCCACGGTCAACACTCCTCCAGGCCCTCCTGTCCTCCACCATCCCCCAGAGACCAGCCGAGCCCAGAGCCACTGCCTCAGTGACTCCATCCAGCCACCTCATCCTCTGCCGTCCCCTTCTCCTTTTGCCTTCAATCATCATGGACAAGAACTCCTTTGTATTCTAAACCCTGCATAGCAATGACTTAGCGAACCAACAGGACTGGGGGCAGAGTGAGGCCTGCTTGAACTGGCTGCCAGTGGAGAGTATCTTGCCAGTCCAGTTCAAGGCATTACAATTCTTTGGCAAAATTGCCAAACCTGAAGCAAGTCCTTTGGTAGTTTTGCAAGTATTGACTGGATTGGTGATGAATGCCAAGTTTCACATTAAACCTGTGCCACTTTAGTAAAATATAAGATTTTGAGCTTTATAATGTAGCAACTTTTTTTCCTGGTGACTTGTCTTAATTAAGCAATTCTCTTTTAATTAACTGTCCCTACCCACCCTCAAGCCCCTTGAAACCTATGTCCAACTGGGGTCTGCATCCGTTCCAGAATGAGGCTGCAATCCTTACAACCTGCTTTCCTGAGAATTATCCCATTGACCTCAGTAGAACTTACTTCTGAGTAGAAAGAACAGATTGCATGGTCCATTTTAGAAGCTTGTCTAGCTAAGTGGGAGTTCAGGCAGAACAGAACTCAGAATGACACAGAAAAACCAGCCAATGATGACACAAAAGTGGGGGTTTGCTTACCCCTCAAATAGGCCTGTGCAGCATTACTGTAATCCTATCAAGAGAAGCTTCCACATGCACCAAAAGGGTTGTGCGAATGGGTTTTGGAGAGAGTTGGTGATGCGGGGCTAAAAGGGATGTGCGAATGGGTTTTGGAGAGAGTTGGTGATGTGGGACAGGAACAAATGCAGTGCAAACTAAGGAAGAGGCAGATGGTGGAAAAGTTCAACTTACAAGTGGAAGTTTTCCTCCCAGACTGGGTTCAGGTTGCCATAGATAGTTTTCGTTCTCTTTTTGGTCTTCCCAACCTGGACGGTAACATAAGGGTCGCTGGAACCTGTTTTGTCCTTTGCCTGCAAGCCTTGCGCACAAACAACTACCATCCACGTGTACAAATCACGCACGCACACAGGTGCCATTTTGGTACATGGGCGCACACATACATGTACAGAGCCATCAGAGAAAATTCCCACCAGACAGACACGAACAGAGAAAACAAACAGAAACAAGAGTGAGTGACACAGAACAGCTGGGAAGAAAAGCTTTTCTTCTTTTCTTTTCGAGATTGATCCCTCGGGCAAAATGACTGCCAAAATTATGCAGCTCCGTTTGTAGCCTACAAAATTGGGGCGCATGGCAAGCACGGCTGGGAAGATCTTCTTGAAATCACCGCGTATGCCTGACCGGATGGGGCTCACAACCAAGAACCATCGGAGCTCATAACTTCAGTGGCAGACATCATATAACCGCTTCAAGGCACTCACATTAATGGATAAAGCCCTAAATAGCTCAGGGCCTGGATACCTCAGGAACATCTCCCTGTTTGTACTCCTACCCAGACCTTAAGATCATCAACAGAGTTCCTTCTTCAGAAGCCATCATTAACGCAAGCAAGGAAGGTGGCTAAGAAGGGGAAAGGCCTTTTCCGCAGTGATACTCCACCCGTGAAACCAGGGAGCTATGACAAGTGCCGATGCTTTATACATTTTGGTGCCAGCTCAAAACCCTTTTTATTCTCCCATTATTTTAACTGTTGATTAGATACTATGATTTTAAATGGGCTGTTATCAAAATGATGGTTGGTTACTGTGGTTTAATATGTTGGTCTATTATTCCTGGTTGAATAGTCACTTATTCCTCCATTATTTTTGTGATTATTCAGATGTGGATTTTATATGGATGACATTTATTATGTTATTTTAAATAACTGTCCTAAGAATATGTACAAAGGTCTATAAAGCACTTTAAATACATAGTCTGAACTTTAAAGGAGCAATTAAATGAACTAGCACATTTGCAACCTGTGTTTCCTCTGTGCATTTTTCCCACCTGAAAAGTACCTTCCTCCCATTCTATTCTGGAGGTTGGGCAGATTCTGTCTTCTGTTATGTACCTGTGATGCTGATCTTGGCTGACCATTTTGAGGTGCCGTCCAGGACGCTCTGCTTTACTGCCTTCATTTGCTGCGTGTGAGTTGTCTTGGAGACAGCAAAAATCTCCTGGATTAGCTCAAAGATCTCAGGTTTATTACGCTCCCGGATCTTCATGCGGTCTTTCAGCACCATGATGATATTCTGCGTACGGTCTTCAGCTCCGTGCTTGGAGCTCTTCTCTGCAGCTCCTATGTACCAAGAGAAGCACAGGTGTAAAACTCTGAATGCGGACAGACGCTTGTGCATAAAGCGTTAGTTATTTTTACACTGATTTCATTGCATGCATTCAGAAACCCTGTTTGGCTGTGATTACGTTTTCTCAGAGCTGAGGAGAGAGGATAGTGCTAACAACAACAATAAATGCATAAAATATTTTCAACAGACCGACAAACTTCAGGTGGTCCACTTTACCCCTCTCCCACCCCCTTTCCTGTTTCTCTATTTTATTTGTTAAGTTTATATCCCACCTTTTTTCTTACAAAGAACTCAGAGTGGGTTTTGTCATTCTCCACCTGTTGCTGTCCATCTTATCCCCACCACAACAACCCTGTGAGGTAGGCTGGGCTGAGAGTCTGCGGCTGGCCCGAAGTCACCAAGTGGACTCCATGGCTGAGCAGGAATTAGAACCTGGATCACCCGAGTCCCAGTCCCACGCTCTTAACCCCCGTGCCTCACTTGCTTTCAGTAGCATTCCTCAATGAATAAATTCTACCTTTAATCCCATAGCTGTTGCAAACATCCATTTCCCCAACTGCCTGAACTTGAAGAAGACTCCAAAGCTAAAAGTACTCACAAGGGATCTTGATGAATTCAGTGAGGTTTAGCACACAGAGATTACTCAAAAGCAAGCCTCACTGCAGAGCGAGCAACCTTTATGGACCACGCACCCTAACCTTCTGCTCAGTGCGGGTTTGGCCATGAGGAATGGAGTGCCCAGTGTCCATTTAAAGACCTCCAGTGCAAACTCTAGCGACAGATTTTATCTTCCTGGGCTCCAACATCACCACAGACGGGGACTGGAGCCAAGAAATTAAAAGGCGCTTGCTCCTGGGGAGGAGAGCTATGGCAAATCTAGACAGCATACTAAAAAGCGGAGACATCATCCTGCCAACGAAAGTGCGTATAGTCAAGGCTATGGGCTTCCCAGTTGCAAGGTGTGGCTGTGAAAGCTGGACCATAAGGAAGGCTGAGCGCCAAAGGATTGAGGCCTTTGGATTGTGGTGCTGGAGGAGACTCCTGCAAGCCCCTCGGACTGTAAGGAGATCAAACCGGTCAGTCCTAGAGGAGATCAACCCTGACTGCTCTCTAGAAGGCCAGATCCTGAAGCTGAAGCTCAGATGCTTTGGCCACCCCATGAGAAGGAAGGACTCCCTGGAGAAGAGCCTGATGCTGGGAACAATAGATGGCAAAAGAAGGAGGGGACGGCAGAGGATGAGGTGGCTGGATGGAGTCACTGGGGCAGTTGGTGTGAGCTTAGGTGGACTCCGGGGATGGTGGAGGACAGAAAGGCCTGGAGGAATGTTGTCCATGGGGTCGCAATGGGTGGGACACAACTTTGTGACTAAACAAGTGCAAACTCGCTACCTCCCAAGGCCATCTATTGTTAGGCAGCTTTGCCCAGTGTTTACCCAAAATCTGCTTCTTTCCCATTTTGCTCTGTTGTCCGCAGGCCTGCCTTCTGGAGCAACAGAGAATAACTCTGCCCTTTTACTGGAGTGGCAGCCTTTCAGATATTTGACAACTGCCACCCTGTCTCCCCCGAATCTTCCCTTCCCCCAGCTAAGCATGCCCAGAATTTTTCAAGCATTCCTCCAAGGAACTGGCCTCCAGACCTCTGACTATCCTGGATGCTCTTGTCTGAATATACCTCAGCGTGTCAGAGTCATCCTTAAATGTGGCAGATGCACTGAAGGTGTTTATGGTTCCAAAGGATATCTAGATGGGTTGGGTCAGGTTATCTGAAGGACTGCCTTGTCCCATATGGGCCTACTCAGACCCCAAGGCCATCTTTGGGGTCCTTCTCTGGGAGCCCCTTCCAAAGGAAGTAAGGAGGGTGGCTCCCAGGAGGAGGGTCTTTTTGGTTGTGGCACCCCAGTTTTGGAATGAACTCCCCATAGAAGTGTGTCCGGTGCTTACTCTGCATTCTTTTGGGCACCAGGTGAAAACCATTTCATTTTCCCACTATTTTAACAGTTGGCTTTTACACTTTAGCATTTTATTCTGTACCACTACTATAACTCTGTGCTGATCTGGCTGCAATTGCCTCAGACAGTGAGATGGGAATTGCAGTCCAACAACATCTGAAGGTCAACAGGTTTCAACCCCTGAATTATGGGTTGTATATGCATTTTAACAAACGTGACGTTTTAGGACATTCTCTCATATGTAAAGACGCGGTTTCCTGCACTGGTTCCCCGTTCTTAAAATAATTCTGACCAAACAAGTTGGGTGCTCACTTTGCAGGCAGTCGGCGTTGAGGAGGTCTTGGCACTTCTCGTGGCACTTCACACCACACTCGGTGCATCGCATTCCTTGGCGCGCAATGCCCCACAGCAGGCCTTCACACTCGTAGCAGTAGGTGGGTGTGGTGGCTGTCCACACCTCAAAGTTGTGGGGTGTTGTGCAAGAAATGGGGTAGATTAAGGCTTGGAGGGTCTTCTTGTAAACATGGTTTTTCTGAGGGGAGAGAAGAAAGAACATGGATGTCGAAACAAGGGAAGCTCCTCGAGGGCATGTTAGACTTTTCTCATCAAGCCCAGCATTGCTTAGTCTCTGCTGAGACACCGACTGCCTTTGACTCTCCCTGGCATCCAGTGGCAGCCATTCTATCAGGTCACTGGAAATGCTCCCATCCCAGCTGGTCAAGTGCCTGAACTTTCTTCTCCTCCCCAACTATCTTCCCTTGTATATGTCCTGTTTTTAGACTGAGCATCTCACTCTTGGTAACTGCAAAACATCATTACTGGTATCTTTGTGAGCGAAGCAGTAGTGGGAAATGTTTTCTATCAATACACAAACAAATAATTCAATAAATTATATGGTAGGCAGAAGCTGAAGCAGAAAGAGATCTTTCCTGTTGACTAATCCTTTCCTGTTGATTCAGCTAGGGACCTTCTCTGTTTCTTTGTCATCCCTCTCAAAGCAAGGCAGTGAGCACAATATATAAATTGTAAATTTATAAATTTAGAGTCAGAGCAGCGAAGGGCCACAAGGTTGGTGGCCGGTTTGCAGGGGATGCCGTAGGAGGCGAGACTGAGAGAACTGGGTCTCTTCAGCCTGGAGGAGAGGAGACTCAGAGGGGTCCTGTTGGAGACATACAGGTGTGTGAGGGGGTGTCACACAGAGGTGGGCAGGGACCTGTTCTCCCCTGCAGAGGAAGGCAGGACGCGCTCCAACGGAGCCAAGCTCAAGGAACCAAGGTTCAATTTGGATGCCAGGAAGCACTTCCTGACAGTCAGGACCCCGAGGGTGTGGAATGGGCTTCCCTGAGAGGGGGTTGAGGCCCCATCGGTGAGGGTGTTAAAGGATAGGCTGGAAACGCACATGGTGGGCATGTTGTGAGTGGAGCCAGGGGTCAGACTAGATAACTCAAGAGGTCCCTTCTGACTCACTCTGTTTTATGTTTCTACACATGAAAAGCTGGTTTAGACCAAGTTGGCCCAATGTTCTCCTAAGCGCAATATGGTCCCCTGGCCAGAATGGAGCTTCCCAGCCAGATTGTCACTTGTCCTGCCCCCACCCAATCTGCTCTGTGAACGCAGCCAGTGGGGACAGCTTGGGATGCTTTTTGGTGGCGTCATTCCCAGCCCGAGGACCTGAACACACATTTCATTTGGGCTTCTTAGCCGTCCCCCTGTGGTGCAAAAGGGCCCAAAGGCTGCCACGGAGAGTATCTGAGGGAATTCAACCAGCCTCAGTAGCTCCTTCTCTCATCCCAATCCAGTTTCCTCCTGGCCATGAAAGTGCAATTATGGAAGAACTAACAAAGAAGAAGGAATGAGAGAGAGAGAGAGAGAGAGAGAGAGGGAGGGAGGGAGGGAGGGAGGGAGAGAGAGAGAGAGAGAGAGAGACCGACCCACTGGGGAACTTACTAGCTCTTCGTTGTTTAAAGTGCTTGATGCAAGCGCAGACGTAATACCAGCTTTCCTGGACTGGACCAAAGACTGTTGGAAGGAAACACAACAGATAATCAAAGCTGCCAACCATTAAGAAAGAACAAAAAGCAACAAAAGGTAAAGGAGAGTTTTAACCTCTAATTCAATGTAGCCCTAGAAAAAAGCGGCTGAAAATCCTTCAGTGCACGTGTTTTAAAAATCCAGCGCAGGAGCAAGAAAATACCTAAACATGGTGTTTTCATGGGCAGGACATCCCATGGGACGCCGTAAGTCGGGGACAACTTGCCAGCGTATAATGACAAACAAGCTTTTTAAAAATCCTTAGTGCTCATGTTTCTTGCAAAAGTTTTATATAGTTGTTTTCATCCAGACCCAGAACCTCTGAATTACATACTTGGTAGGTGTGCACAACTTGGCACGAAACAATGGCGTGCCGCATGGATTCCACATTTCAGCACAGTTTCTCAGGTTGTCCAAACCTGCATCGTGGTTTCCATGGTCCTTCTGTGCAGATGCCACAGACTCACTGACACAAGCGCGGCTGCAGGAGCCGCTCCAGCTATCCCGTGAGGGACTGAATTTCAGGTGCTGTGACTGATGGGGTGTGTGCCAACCATGGGAGGGCCAAGTGAGGAAGGAGAAACTACACTAGTGTAGAAACAATTAGGTCATCTGACAATCACAGCCAGACAAAATATGTGACCCATGGAAACCATCCTGGGTTGTTTGAGATGTAAACCCAGCCAGTTAGAAAGTTTGTGTAGGGTGAGAAGAGTTGAATTTCTAGGGGGCTCACCCCATGGGGATTGTGAAGGTTAATCAACCTACATATCTTCATGGGGCCATGCAGTGATGTGTTTCAAGTGTAAATATGCTACTCTTATACTCCAGGGGAGAATTTTTGGAATACTGGCAAACTTTTCTGAACATTGGCTAATTAATAGTCTGTAAAAATGGAGTTTGCCTGCGACTGTTTTTTTAAAATTTAATTTTCATTCTTATTTATTTTAAGTACTTCCTGACAGTTAGGAACCTGAGGGTGTGGAATGGGTTTCCACGGGAGGGGGTTGAGGCCCCATCAGTGAGGGTGTTCAAGGATTGGCTAGACATGCACATGGTGGGCATGTCGTGAGCAGAGCTGGCTGGAGCCGGGGGTCAGACTAGATGGCCCAGGAGTCCCTTCTGACTCGCTCTGTTTCTATGTTTCTATTTTTTATTGTTATTTATTTATATTATTTTTGGGAGAAGTGTTTGAGAGCCTCGCTTGTGGTGTAAAATGGGGAGTAAATAAAAAGCCAATACTCACCATAGCCTGTAAGGATGGGATGAACAAAAATGATCGAGAGGAGAAGAAAAGAAAAATGGTTAATATGACTGGAAAAAGCAGAATATCTTCTAGACAGACCCCATGATAAAAGGGCACAACTCGTTCCTCTAAGTCAGGAGAATCTGGGTCTTCCAGATGTTGTTGGGCTCTAAGTCCATCAGCTTCAGCCAGCGTGGCTCATGGGAATGATGGGAGTTGGGGTCCAGCAACATCTGGAGCTTGTTCCCCCATTAATTAAACTGATTAATTCCTGAATGGGTTGGACAGAATATTATGAACTTAAGCTGCTTCCCTGCCATGTTTTGATCCACACATCAGTTCTTCAAACCAAACATCACTGATTTGCAATCAGAAGGATTGCTATGGACTCACAGATACCCCCTAGATAGAGCAACAACAACATCACTGGACACTCTGCCCAAGGGATGTAACCACCCCCCCCCCACTCCCAAGTTTGGTACCCACACATAAGGCAGAGATGCCAGCACCCACCTCCACACCCCCAGTAAGCCAGTCAAGGCATGCAGCATCAGCGCTAGAGGGAAGAGACAGGCTAAAAGGCAGACAGACAACAGAAGAGGAATAACGCATCTTCTGCAAGCAGGGAGCGTGACGGGGCGAGCTTGGGCGGAAAGTGCCAGGCCTCCAACAGACGAAGGAACACCAGAATTTTCAGCAGTTGCAACATCTGGCTGGTCAGGATTCCCAGTTCAAAGACTCTGGGAGCTGCTTTGCATCCCTGCCTTTCTGGCTGTCTAAAACATGTGCAGAAATGCCTCCTCCAGGGCTCTCAAACCACATTGATAGCCCCTAGACACCCACATATGGCCCTTGGATAAGAACGCAGTTCTTCCTGCCAGACAAACCTTGTGGGATTCTACGGCAAGGTTTCGAGGTGGCTGGATGGAAGGGACGCAGTGGATGTGGTTTCCCTGGATTTCAGCAAGGCCTTTGACAAAGTGCCCCATGATATCCTGGCTGAGAAACTGAGGAGTTTTGGGATAGACCAAAGCACTGTCCGATGGATTAGGGCATGGCTGACTGACCAAAAGCAGAGGGTAACCATTGGCGGGGAATCATCGGGATGGCGGCCAGTGACAAGCGGGGTCCCCCAGGGCTCTGTCAGGATGGCGTTCAATGTGGAGAAGAGCAAGGTCTTGCACTTGGGGCATAGGAATGGGTGCCATAAGTACAGGTTAGGGGACAAGTGGCTGGAGAGCAGCACTTGTGAAAGGGACCTTGGGGTGCTGGTCGACTGCAGGCTGAACATGAGCCAGCCGTGTGATGCGGTGGCCAAGAGGGCGAACGCCACCCTTGGTTGCATAGCCAGAAGTGTGGCTTCTCGATCGAGAGAGGTATTACTGCCACTCTACACAACTCTGCCGTGCCCGCAACTGAAGTATTGTATTCAGTTTTGGGCCCCTCGTTACAGGAAGGATATAGCCAGGTTAGAGTCAGTGCAGCGAAGGGCCACAAGGTTGGTGGCCAGTTCGCAGGGAAAGCCATATGAGGCCAGACTGAGGGAACTGGGTCTCTTCAGCCTGGAGAAGAGGAGACTCCGAGGGGATTTGTTGGAGACATACAGGTATGTGAGGGGGTGTCACACGGAGGTGTGTAGAGACCTGTTCTCCCCTGCAGAGGAGGACAGGACGTGCTCCAACGGAGCAAAGCTCAGGGAACCAAGGTTCAATTTGGATGCAGTTAGGACCCCGAGGGTGTGGAATGGGCTTCCATGGGAGGTGGATGAGGCCCTATCGGTGAGGGTGTTGAAGGGTAGGCTGGACATGCACATGGTGGGCATGTCGTAAGCTGAGCTGGCTGGAGTTGGGTCAGACTAGATGGCCCGGGAGCTCCTTCTGACTTGCTCTGTTTCTATTTTTCAGATGCTCCAAGAGCTCTCCAACACAAACTTCTGTGCAATTCCCCAGGTTTCCTTGATATTTTACCCTGGTTTCCTCAAACCACAGATGCTTTTGGAAGTGTTGCTTAGACTCTCTCTAAACTAGAATTTTTAGTGCCTGCACCAAACTACAAGGAGCAGGTCTCCTTGATCTAGGATGAATCAAGGAGCACTGAATCCCTTCACTCTGGTGTGCCAGTGTGGAAATCTTAGCACACATCCAGAAGGCTACAGCTCCCAAGAGTCCGTGTTAGTACTTGCTTATCCTGACCATTGCTTCAAATCAAGGGGCTTCTAGGTCCTTGAAGGTCTCAGGAGAAATATTAGTATGATTCTTAGAGAAGAAGGTTTTCTTGAGAACGCACACCTTGCAAGTTAACACCTATCTATACATCTAAGGGCTTTTTGCCATTGTTTGCAGACCACTTGGGAGGGGTTTTAATAATAATTTTAATTTAATAAAGCATTTTTATCCCGTCTTTCACTAAATGTCTCAAGACAGCTTACAGAGGGTTGCATCCTATTTATTTATTTAGAAAATTTCTATGCCGCCCCATTTGCCAAAGCCTCGGGGTGGCTCACAACATAAATCAATTAAAATAATATAAATTAACAATATAAAATAAAATATTTTGGCTTTGTGCTGCTCAGAAATTAACGACACACAGCCAAAGACAGCCCAGCTTCCTTCAACTGGCCCTGGGAACTGTAGTCTGAAGGAAAGGAATGGAAAGGACCATTCTCGGTAGGATGCTTAGACCTCCTCCTTCACTGGATTATAGTAAATTCCAGGCAGTTGACATGCTACTCAAGACTATGGGACTTGAAGTCCAGCACCTCTAGAGGGCATGGGACCGGGGAAGGCTGCTTGAAGATGATTCCCAGAATCTCTTCAAGATCTCCTGAAGATACCACCACCAGCCTCTTGTGGCAGATTCATGGAACAACTTCTGGACTGACTTAACCTAGGCTGGCCAGGCAAGATGGTAACACACCTTCCCATTTCTGTGGAATTCATCTGGAGCAACCAGTTCTAGCTAAGCCTGGCAAGCTGTGTGTTTCTGGCCCTGCTTTTCAGTCCATCTTCAGGGTTGCCCTCCAAGTCTGAGTGTCCGTAGCTCCAACGCCCGATTCTCAGCCCTGACTGGCTCCAGACTGTCATCCTAAACTTAGTCCTGAGGCAGGCCTGCCCTAGCCTTGCTAAGAGAGAAATGTTGGGGCCCAAAGTGGCATCCTTCTGCATTGAAAGGATGTGTTTGCTAATTAACTCTCAGCCCTCAGCAAAACCAGTGCACAGGGGACAGGTGTTCCATAAGGAAATCACGGAAGGAAAGGGGAAAGATGCATACTGCCAACTCTAGCCACTGAAGGGTGCACCTCACGGAACAAAGAAGGGGTTTCTCTTAGGAAGAAGCAAGGCTCAGGAGTGTTAAAAGAAGAACAACTGCAGCACAGGGACACCGAAGGATGCTTCCCACTGGGCAGGCACTACGGTGTCTTTCAAAGCAACAGCACCCTAGGAGGATGACGTACTGGTCCCCAAACTTCTGGAGAGCTTCCCGGGCAGCCAGAGGCCTCTGCCCCTGAAGCAGCCTTCTCCAAGCAGGTGACCTCCAGATGCATTGCACTCTGAGCGTTGCGCTCCAACACATTTGAAGGTACCAAAGGGAGGGCGGGTGTATCCTCTCATTCCTCACCATTTCTTCCCCCTTTTTCCTTTCCAGAAGGTCCAGGTGAGCAGCTTGTGAAATTCAGTCCATTGGAAGAAGGTTTTGCAGGGCTTTTTCTGGGAGAGCTGTTTGCCAGCGGGGTGTGAAGAGTCTATCTGGGGCTGGTCATCCACCAGATTCCCTGGCTCAGCTCCCAGGACTCTGGTCTGCCCAAAGATTGGCCAAATCTGACACACCAGAAAAGCAGCTCCCCTATTCTGTGCCACCAGAGGTTCCATGTGCATCCACAGCCTTTCCTCTTGGCTGAACTCCCTCCGCAAGACCAGGTTGAGCACAAAAGGAAAGGCTTTGGGTCCTTGGAGGCATGATTTGGAAAGGGTTTGTCCCAACCCTTCTTGAACTATGTGCTGATAGGTTTCTCCTCACCATGGCAAGGTGCAAGGAAAAGCTAAAGAGGGTATGATATTTACAAAGCTGCAATTCATCTTGGTTGGTTGGTTCGTTCTTTCTTGGGATGTCTGTCAAGGCGGCATCCCAGTTGTATCCTTGAACAGAATACGTATAAAGACACATTGACTATCTGCACTCTGCCAGCTGAACTTGCCTGTGTGCCAATTGATTCTGTCCAATCACCCAGAGCTGTTTGGGAAAAAGGCAGTCACGTTTGCATAACTGGACACTGCTCTTTCGGCACAATCCGGTTCAGAATTGCACCTTGCGGTACCACTGGGTATTTTGATTTCTAGAATTATTGTTCTTCTTGAGCTTCGATAGCTTAGCTGGCACAGTGCAGGACTGTAGAGTATTACCAAAGTCATCCTTAGGTTGCTGGTCTGATTCTGGCTTGAAGATCAGGTGCTTTACCTGTCTGCATAGCTAACATGGAGTGAGCTTGTCATGTTTCCTTTGCTAAGCTGGAAAGGTGCCGGACAACACCTGGATGGGGGACCTCATGTGGAAGTGCAGCAGGGGCCCCACAGTTGCCTTCCAGCCCTACTACCCTGTTTCCCCGAAAATAAGACCTAACCGGAAAATCAGCCCTAGCATGATTTTTCAGGATACTCATAATATAAGCCCTACCCAAAAAATAAGCCTCAGTTCAGATTGTCAGTCAGTATGTCTGTTGCAACACACGATGGATGGACAGAATTCTAAAACAATAATATATTATTAAATATAAATAAATAATATTATTTATGGACATTAATAATTAAAATAAATGATAGTATAAATTATAATTAAGTATTTGTAAATACCCAAGTGGGCCCCTTTGGAGGAGAGGTAAATGCCTATGCAAACAGAAGAACTCGAGACTCATTGCCGAATGACCAATCCGAATACAGACATGAGCATGAATAACGGGCACACTTGATAACGAACGGGCGTGTTTCATAATTCAATACGTCGTGTGTTGCAGCAGATGTACTTAATGCACTCGTGTGTTGCCACTCCTGTCTCACAAGTCTTCAATTAACACCTGATTTAATGGTAGATTTAAAGGGAATAATATTTCGACCCCCAGACAAGAGGAGTGCAAAAAGAAAGAGCGATTCCATTGAGTACAAGAAAGGAATCATGGAGGGCTCTTGGGGCAAGAATCTTATGGCTTTTGTAAGAAAAAATAAGACATCGCCTGAAAATAATGTGTCTTTTGGAGCAAAAATTAATATAAGACCCGGTCTTATGTTCGGGGAAACCCGGTATTGCTATCCTACAGTTCTAAATTTGGCACACCAATCAGATCTGGCCTGTGGAATGGGGGTCACAGGGCACCGGCCCCATAGGGTGCTGTCCCTTTAACCTCGTTCTCACCAGATCACTGATGACCAACGGAAGAGATTTACGTCCTGGTTTAATGTCAGGCGTGCTGTCAATGCAGTGCAGAAACTTGACCGCCGCTCCCCTAGGGGATCCCGCAGCCCCGACCGCACAGAGAGAAGGAGAGAGAAGACAATACAAGACGACAGAAGAGAGAAACAGAGCGAGATGGATTAGCAAAGCGAAGCAGAGGCGATTCAACGAGTGCCGCCTGGAGCTGGGTAAACGGGCGGCAGGGACTTGGCCGTTTCTCGCCTTGGCATCGGGGCGAATTGGGGGGGGGGGTTAGGAAATTCCCAACTGCTTACTTGGAAAAATGACAACAGTCTATACCGCTGTGATGGACGTTGCTGGATTTAATGGCAATTAGAGCATTTGTCCACATCAGAACAGGACTTGAGATCTGGTGTAATGTAGTATTCATTTCATTTTTATTCTTATGCTTATTACTATTATTGCTATAATAATTATTATTCCTATTGCCATATTTATTTCAGGAAACACATGTATCCAGCCATGTGCTTGATACTTCATTGCTGTCATGCTTATTATTCCATTGCGTCATAAACTGCCTTTCTCCTGCTCGCGAGGAGCCCAAGATCCCTTGCGTGGTTCTCCACCACTCAGTTTTTATCCTCCTCACAACAGCCCGGTGAGGTAGGTGAAGCGGAGAATCACTGATTGGCCCAAAGTTGTCCAGTGGGCTTCATGGCCAAGAGGGACCTCCCAGGTCCCCAGTCCCAAACTCTCACCACTGCACCACACTGCTCTCCAATGCATTTTCTTTTTTATGTATTTATTTCATTTTTATACCTCCTAATGCCAAGATGCCAGGAATTACTTTCTTTTCTTCTTCACTGTACTTTCATACAGGGGCAAAGGCTTCTCTGTTTAATTCATGTAAATAGTTAGCCACCAGGTTAAAGTATTTTAAGATTTTGAGGGTTCAAATGCTTCAGGGCATTATTTGCAACTGGAACCAGGCTCCTGGGATTGGCACCAGATTTGGGGCATCCTAAAAATGCAGCAGATGGTCAGTTACAGAAATTCTACCTTTACTACCAGGAAGAAGAGCAAATGCCAACCACATGTGGAGTTTCAGGTGCATGGAAAACTGGGCATCCTGTGTGCTTTTCACAAGGTGTACCTGGGAAGGGACCTTCTTCTGCTTGGCCTCAGGTAGCTAAACATCTTCGGAGGGGGGCATTTGTACAGCTACACTGGGGAGCCAGTTGGTCTCCAACTCCCATCATCCCTGTCAGCTGGAGCTGATGGGAGCCGTAGATCAGCAACACCCCAAAGTCACCCTGTTGCAGAAAAACACTAGAAACTGAGAGGGGCACAAGAAAATCCATTCCATGAACTCTCCATTTTTCTTTCTCCTGCTGGGATAATTCAGAGTGTCAAGTCCTGGCCAGGCAAGGCTTGGGGCCCTTTACTTTTAAAAATTATGAATAAATATACCTCCTTGGATCCAAGAAGCCCCTTCAGTATGTAGAGCCCAGTAAGTTTAACTTGCAAGGAAAGATGAAGGCAGGAGGAGGAGGAGGACATTAGGAGACCTAATGGCGGACAGAATGAATCCCTAATGGAAGCCACAGTCTTGAGCTTACAAGAACCGAGCATTTTGGATACACATATTTTGTGGTGGAGGCAGCATCAGGCCACCCAAATTCAGGGTGAGAAAGAATGAAGATGGCGGATAGATTCGGATGCAGATAGGTTGCTTTGGCTGGAGAGGCAGATGAACAGATTTTCAAAGTGCCAAGTTGAATAATTGCTTACCTAGGACTATTTCAAGCAGAAACTTAAGCTTGTCTACATGCGTCTTACCTCCACGTGGGTTTGCACTGGGTTGCAGTATTAGCATAGTTTTGGTGGTATAAGCATTTGCACCAAAGCATATTTTTTGGTCTGTGCTTTCAGTCACTAAGTTACACTAGATCTCAAGATGCAAAACACTGAGGCAATATGTCCCATTACTTATATTTCAGTTTCTGATTCACATTCTGGTTGTTGAAAAGTAACTGATTCAGCTCTAGCCATGGGGAGTTGGGGAGGAAGGAGTGTGGCCAGATAAAAGAGGGAAGCAAGTCTCTCCCTCTTGTCCCGTTCACCCAGCTCCAGAGGGACACGCGCTGGAATTCCTGTGGCTCCAGAGCAGATAAAATCAGCAGCTGCCAGCAAGAAAGAGAGAAAAGTTGTCAAGAGAAACCTCACCAAATCGCTAACTAGGGGGATGGGTTTCCTTTTGCGAATATCGGGCATGCTATCAATTATGATCAACCCGCCACCAGGCCTGGAAAAAAAGACAAAAACAGTCAGATAGCATACAAGGAAGAAGAAAAGGGGGAGCTGGGAAAGGGAGGCGAACGAAGGAGAGAGGGCTGGGGTAGGAGAAGGTGGAGGAAGACCCATGCGGAACAGGATCCGACGCTGCAGGGGAACTGGTGGAAATACGGCCAGTGGACTGAAGGTTGGCACACTTGCTGGAAATAATGGAATTGTGTCAGCAAAGCTCAAAAGGAGATTTGCCAGGAGAATTTCTCTGCCACTAGGAGAGTCGATTTGAGCACGTAACACACCCGGAAGACCTACTTTGCAACAGTGTTTGGTCTTGCGAACACGAGTCCGGCAGTGTGGACCACCAGCCCTGGCTCCAGAAGAAGGTGGCAAAGTTTGGGCATTGGTAAGGGACCCCCCCAAGTCCACCACTGCCCTATCAACCCCCCACCCCCAATTCTCCCACTGCATAGCAGGGGCCAAACAGAGGGCTTAGTATCTTTCCATATTTCCTGAAGCTGTCGGGCATTGCAATGGATAAGGACTGGAAAAAGGGGGTTAGAAGTAAAAGCTGGAAAGACATTTGGTCTCTGAGTGTCTATACCAGAGGAGAAAGCCACGTATCTGCTGTTGATACCAAAATCAAAATCTTTGGTTGCTTGCTGCCTCTGTCAACCTGTTGCCTTCTAGATATGCTGGAGTAAAATTCTCATCATGGGAGCAGCAGTCCAACACACCTGAAAGGCAGCAGCTGCGGGAAGGCTGACGCCGGAAATCACATCTTGGATAAACCTTAAGCAAGTGTAAACTCATCACAAATTCAACAGTGGGAGACTTCATCACACCTGGGTGGATCACAAACAACCTTCAATCGGGGTACACAATTCCTAGCAATTGAAGGGTTTCCCACTGTGGTTTTGCTCCATCTTTGAGGATTCTAACTGAAGACGTGTGAGTCAGACAAATCCAAACTCACCACAATTCTCCAAATTGCAGCTTGACACTTGTCCTCACTCAAATCTGTATCCAGTGGCAAGATTTGTTGCTCTTTTGCAGGGAAACCTGTGAGTGTTTCTCCCAAAGGTGTTCATCCATCACACGCCATTTCATTCATTCATTCATTCATTCATTCATTCATTCATTCATTCATTCATTCATTCATTCATACAGTCAGTCAGTCAGTCAGTCAGTCAGTCAGTCAGTCAGTCAGTCAGTCAGTCACCCAGGGAGCTGGGCCTTTTCAGCCTGAAGAAGAGGAGACTCCGAGGGGATCTGTTGGCGACATACAGGTATGTGAGGGGGTGTCATGCAGAGGTGGGAAGAGACCTGTTCTCCCTGGAAGAGGAAGGCAGGATGTGCTCCAACAGAGCAAAGCTCAATTAGGGCCCCGAGGGTGTGGAATGGGCTTCCACGGGAGGTCGTTGAGGCCCCCTCGGTGCGGGTGTTCAAGGACAGGCTGGACATGCACATGGTGGGCATGTCGTGAGTGAAGCCGGCTGGAGCCGGGGGTCAGACTAGATGGCCCGGGAGACCCCTTCTGACTCGCTCTATGTTCTATGTTTCTATGTTTCATTCATTCATTCATTCAACTAAATTAATCTGCAATTAAATTAGTCCCATGAACTCTTTAAGTGGATTTTGGAAATGTACAGAGTCTCATCCCATGATTGAAGTATGTTTGCATCTCTTTCTGAAAAATACTTATTTTGAAACATACATATATTTAAAATTATGTTAAAATATTTTTTTTTAATTAAAAATGTGTGTGTGGTCAAACGGCAGGCATGGTTTTGACTTGGACGTGGTCTGTGCTGGGCCCCCTGGGAAACATTCTGATCAAGAATGAATGAAGAATTGTTGATCCTACGTTGCATTACTCACCCGCCTTTAAACCACAGAGATTTGGATTCTCCATCACCATCACCCCGAGCCTGCAAGAAAGGAAAGCCTGAAGTTAGCAAGGCCTCCACAGAGAGCTTGATCCAGAAATGCCACCCAAGCCTCATAAAAATGAGTGATTCACTATTTTCCTTTTCTTCTAGCTGTACCATATATGAATCATGTCTCAAATTATTCTAGGGCTGCACTGAACAGCTGCTTAAGGATGAAAGCAACACAAATGGGGGTACATTTGTACCTGGCAGAATTAGAAGGGTCATTCTGGTAATTATCTTGGAGAAGGAAGTATGTACGGTACATCTGAGCTGTTGTGAAAACCAAACTCTAACCTGGAAAATCCTCATTCTCTACCAAGTTTCCCCTGCTTAAGAGACATGCAGGGAAAGGATGTTATCATATTTATTTATTTTATTTTATTTATTTAACACTTTTGTAGACCGTCCCATTACCGAAGTCTTGGGACAGTTTAACAATACAAAATGTTAAAAAAGCAACAACACAGCATCCTAAAATTTAGCTAAATAATGAAACCCCAATTAAAACAATCAGGTCTTAAAATATTGGGAAAATAAAAAGGTTTTATGTATTTGCATATTAAATTTATATCCTGTTTTTTTTTCTTTTTTAAAGAACTCAAGGTAGCTTAGATCATTCTCCTTCTCCTGCTCTCCATCTTATCCCCACACCAACAGCCCTGTGAGGTAGGCTGGGATGAGTCTGAACTCACCCAAAGTCACCCATTTGGCTCCATAGCTGAGAGGGGACTAGAACCCAGATCACCGGAGACCCACAACTGCACTTTTAACCACTATACCATGCTGCTTTTCTCCATCCTTTGTTTATTGATCTCTTTTTTAGTAGCAAACTGTCCACAGGGATTGTGATAATTGTTATTATTACATTGCATGTATATCCTGCTTTATTTCCTCTTATGAGGAACCCACAGTGGCTTACACAGCTCAATTTTTCCCTCACAACAACCTCCCTGTGAGGTAGACCAGGCTGAGAGTCTGTGCTTGGTCCACAGTCTCCCTCTAAGCTTCATGGCCTAGTGCAGACTAGAACCCGGATCCCCCAACTGACACCCCATCGCAGTCGGAAGAAAAACGCGCCTGTTCACTCTTAAAAGCAGAATCTCTTTATCTCACATCATTGAAAATATGGAATGAAATAATGAAAAGTTCTTGGGAGCCGTAAGTGTGACCGCTCATCCTGCTGAATGAAAACCACTGGAACCAAACATCTGGACTTTGCCAGAGCACATGCCACTGAGGCAGGGCCCTTCCTTCTCCAAAGAGCTGCAGGTGGGAATCCAGCCAGCAGGCCAAAAGATGACCTCCTAGAGCAGCTGCTTGCTTTTGCTTACCTGCATTCATGTGGCAACACAGACAGGGAGAGATGCAGAGACAAAGATGGCAGCGATTCGGAGCAACTGAAAAGCGAAGATTGGGGAGGGGCATCCTGGGAAAGGCAGCTTTGGGGCCAAAAGAAAATGAATAAGAATGGTGCATGACATCTAAAAACAAAGTAAAACCAACATTATAAACAGTCAACTCAAATAATGTGGGAGGAGGCAAAAGGGAAGACGAAAACTAAAGGCAACTGCAACAGAACAAAAACTTTGATGGAATGGGATATGTGTACAGAATTCAAAAGAAAGGATTTCTTTGACTTATAGAATAGAGTTGTCAAAGCGGGGAGACATCCTATTTTGGAATTTTTAATCACAGGGTGGACTCATTTGTCTGTAAGTTATGGGGAATCACCTGATTGAAAGATACAGGTGTATTTGTGTATTGGGAAGTAGCTTTTTGTGGCAAAGAAAATACATGGAGGAAGAGGTCAAATACCAAATGGAATGTGGAAAGATGCCTGCATTCGACTTAGCGAGCCCCCTGCTTCCAGGAAGCAAATTTAAATAAGAAAAGCAACAATAGAAGGACTTAATTTGGGTCGGTAGTGCAAATTTTGTCTAAGCTGCTCTCATATGTTCTGAATCTGAGTTAGAGTAAAGGGTTTAGGTGACATTAAATGTACAATATCTAGAAAATTCTAACTTGTTTCTATTCTAGTGTAAATACAAGAGATTAAAGTCAATATTGCAACCAATACATAAAATAGGAGGGCTTTATACTTTAACATCAATGGAATTTCCCCTCTTTCTTTAGCAGGATAAGTAGCTGTATGACAAATAATCCCAAACCCTACAGATTGGGCCCTACACACATACTCTAGAGTAGAACACAGTGAGGTTTCCTTAGATGGTAGATATTTAATATGAATTCCACTTTATGTTTCTTTCTCAGAAAGGTAAGCCAAAAATTCTAAGATTAAATTTAGCTGCAGTCGGCTTAGATAATAAAGATGCACGGTGTCCTTGGTCATCAACTTGAAAGGAAGTCAAGATAAGTTTCCAAGCAATTCCACAAACAAGTTACTCTAAATGAGGCAAGAGACTGAATGCTCTCTAGTCTGGGAGAAGCAGAATTAACAATGTGAATTAAGGATTTAGAAGTAAATATGCCCCTATTCTTGCAATTTGCAAAAGTTACCAAATTTGCTCTCTCTGGGGAAAGAAGTCTGAGATTGTTTTCATGCATGTGCTTAAGTATCTATAAAAATGCATGCCTATATGGGCTTCTGCACTCAGAACTCAGGAGAGCATGCTTGTGATTCGACCTATACAGGACTGTTCTGTTAAAAGCATATTCTAATCCGGTACATTCTTGGCTTATCAGCCATAGCAATAACTGGATCTTCCCTTTGGTCATAATTTTATTATGTTTATTATCATTATATTATTGTTATTTCTTGCTATAGGCCCTTCGCTCTGCTCCTCAATTATGCTTTCTTAAAATTAATGTTGGGATTACAACATACAGATAATTTCTTGTTACTACATTAGGTGCGTATCTGATGAAACAGTCCAACAAAAGCAATCCTGATATACTTGCATCAAGAACTTTTGCATGGTACTATATTCGTCTGTGTGGGCACTGAAAACACCACACAAAGAGACTGTTGGCATACCCACAATGCAGAATGCAAGCGAGGTAGTTAGTTTTTGTTATGTCCTGATGCAGGTGTGTACTCCAGTCAAGCGCCACACCGAAATACAGATGGCATCCTCAGGAGGTTTTTTTTTGACACTGTTTTACGGAAGCCAATGTGCAGGCCGTGTCTCATGTGAGATATAATGAACTGAAGCAACACATTTTTTAAAAACTAACAAATGGAATACTGGGGGATTTCTGATTCATCAGCTCTATTTCAAAAATAGCAAGTATTCAGAACTCCAGAATACATTATGAATTTCAGGCGAAGAAAACTGCAGAAGAATTCATAGCTGGAGGGGGAGTCCATATACCAGGGAATCCAGTCAAGAAGAGGTGGCCAATTTTCACTCCTTTAATTTTTCCTAAGGTAGAGCAGATATTTACCTCTTGGAGTTGCATGCAGACCTTGTTGAATGCACGTAACCAGTTGGCCTTTGCCCGTGCTTTGGGGTCAACCACTTCCGTCGCCTCTCTCTCCCTGAAGACAGAAATACAGAAGTTAAGGGATGTTAGATGCAGCTTTGCAGGTCCCTGCAGAAAACGTTCAGTAGGCTGCAGTTCTTCAAGGATCTACAAGGATCTGCCCCAACCACCCGAGGAAAGATTTGCAGATGGTTGTACTTACAAACCATGTTTCTCCTCTGGGTCCCTGGCTCAGCCATAGTGGCCCACCCCAGCTTCCATGAGTGGGGGCTAAAAGGAAGAATGGGGGCATTTTTGTCTGGGGTTAAGTCTGAATTATCTTATCTGGAATTAGACCAAGAGTCCACCACAGAGCCAGTGCGGTACAGTGATTAAGAGCGTGAGACTGGGACTCAGAGGATCTGGGTTCGAGTCCCCGCTCAGCCATGGAGCCCACTGGGGGACTTCGGGCCAGTCACAGACTCTCAGCCCAACCTACCTCACAGGGTTGTTGTTGTGGGGAGAAGATGGAGGAGGAGGAGGATGTAAGCTGCCTTGAGCCCTTTGTTGGAAAAAGGCAGGATACGAATTGAAAAATAAATAAATAAAATCCAACCGCTGCCTATTCTTGATGGATGGAGATGGTGGCCAGAAAAAGGGATGTAAGTGTCTTTCACCGGGACTTATTTTCTTTCTTTTAAAAAAAAACAAAAACTAGGAAGACACATTCTTTACATCGGGTTCTGGGGACTGCACTCCAGTCGTACATGGGCCAAAGGGAAAAGCCAGAGGCCGCCATACCAAAAACATCGACACACTTCAACTGAAAGCTGATATGGTAAGCAACTAAGTCTTGGAGAGACACAGAATCCCTTTGGGATGGCGGAAAACCTGGGCAGCATCTTGCAAGCCACCAGAAAGTGGCCAGTGTCACTCCACAGGCCAGAGGATGGTCACACCCAACGCCCTGTCCTCCTTCTATAAGCAGCAGCAGCGCGACATTGCTCACCCTTTCTCCTCGGCCGGCCGGGACTCTTCCTCCGGGGCTTTCTCCTCTGGGAGCCCTTCGGGGGCTTTCTCCTCCAGCTGGGCTACGGGGCTTTCCTCCAGCAACTCCTGTTTTGGCTCCGGCGGAGGCGGCTGCAGCTGCGGCTTCGCCGAGGTCTGCGGCTCCTGCTGCAGCTTGGGCTGAGCGTGCTGCAGAACCTGTGGCACCTTTTGCTGCGCTTGCGGCTTTTGCGGGGCCTGTTGTGGCGGGGCCTGCGGAGGCTTCTGAGGCTGTGGTGGGGGCACTTGTTGTGGTTTCTGTGGCTGCGCCGGTGGGGTTTTCTGCTGAGAGAGGGCAAACTGAGGGGCTGGAGTCTGCTGGGCTTGTTGTTGCTGGTACGCCTCGCGGGGATATGCCTCGAATTCGGATTCCGGCACCTCGTCTTCGGGGTAGTACTCCTCGTTCCCACTGTACTCTTCGTTGAACTCATCCTCTTCCAGGTAGAGATCATCATCTTCCTCTTCTTCGTCCCAGCGTGGGGAGTCCTTATGGTAACTCACCGAGCTGTGGCAGGAATGATAGGAGTCTCCGTCCCGCTCGTCCAAGCTGATGTCGTCGGGATCAAAATCGTCACTCAGCTGGGAACTCCCTTGGCTCAGTTCTGCCGATGAGGCGTATCGGCTGCTTCCTGTGGGGCTGCAGGGGTGGACCGTGGTTATGACTGATTATTGATTATCGATAGATTTGTTTGCAAGCCACCCATTAGCATCACGCTTTCTGGGCAGCCAGAATGGTCTGGGTCGTGGGGCAAGGAAGAGCAGGCCCAAAAAAAGCGAGGAAAGGGGGGGCACAAAGAGGCTTATAACAGGGCACACAATGATCATCGGGGGCCACCCCCTGCCAGGCTCTGCCCCCATTTGCCGAAATGGCCCCCTGACATGCCTGACGGATATCAATGGCACTGCCAACAGAGAAAGGGGACCTTTGGCCATTTGCCCGTGCGCTCGCTCGCTCGCTCTCTCTCTCTCTCTCTCTCTCTCTCTCTCTCTCACACACACACACACACACACACACACACACACTCACACACACACGAGAAGAGGCTGCCTCAGTCTAGGTTCCAGGAAGATGACGATTTGATTCACACTGTGCAGGCATGACAGAAAAATTAGGCATGATTTTAGGCAAGGGAAACTTGGGAACTGTACCTTTAGGGATGTGTACTGGCAATTACTCTGTGCAAGATCCCTAAGCATTTCCCAAAATGGCTACAGTTCTTGCATTGGGAGCCATGGGAATTCAGGAGCTACTAATGTACGGGGATTGAAGTCTATTGTCAGTTCCTTAATCAGGAGCCTGAATTACATTCCCTCCCTCCCTCCCTCCCTCCCTCCCTCCCTCTCTCTCTCTGTGTGTGTGTGTGTGTGTGTGTGTGTGTGTGTGAGAGAGAGAGAGAGAGAGAGAGAGAGAGAGAGAGAGAGAGAGAGAGAGAAAGGGCAGGTACTGAGTGGCAAAAGGCTGGTAGTTTACCTGTAACAGTAATTCTGGCTGGCCATCTGTGCATTCACACATGCAGGTTTCATGCCTGTGCATGTTCTTGTTTTGGAGAACTTCTATGGTTAATAATTTTTTTTGGTAAGCATTCCCTCTAGCTATCCTTGTGCATGTGCATTTAGGGGGTCTACCTGTTCCCCGCGTCCATTTCCTTGAGATCAGGGATAGCTCAAAGTGCTGCAGAATTGGGACTTCTGGCATTCACAGACTTCTGCTCATGGCAAGCAAGCAGAGCCAAGAAGAAGTCTGTGAATGATCTTGGAATGAAGGCTGTGAAAACAGGACCCCCTTCGGAAGGAACGCTTCGGGTTCCTCGACCACGGCACTCTGTTTCTTGCCAATGGACTTCTGGCAAGGGACGGGTTGCACCTCACGAGGAGGGGGAAAAGGTCCTTTGGAGATGCTCTAGTGAGCTTCATCTGGAAGACTTTAAACTGAGTCGGGGGGGGGGTTCAGACCCCCCAGAAACATGTCTGCACTGGACCAGTGTGAGGGGAGGATCAGGTCTCTGGGAGCAGGTTTTAGAGGTACTGCAGGGACTGACAGGACTCCTACAGAGAGGGTCCAGCTATCAGGGAGGATGGGAGGCAGGAGGAGGCTGGGGACTCCAAGGAAAGGGAGCAGTGGGAAGGAGTTGGGGTGCATGTACACCAATGCTAGGAGCAAGGGTAACAAGCAGGAAGAGCTGGAAGCTCTCCTGGGAATGGGAGGGTCTGACCTGGTGGGGATCATGGAAACCTGGTGGGATGAAAGGCAAGACTGGAACGTGAACATAGAGGGGTATCACCTTTTTAGAAAGGACAGGAAGGGAAAGAGGGGTGGGGACGTGACTTCATACATCAGGGAAGGGATAGGATGCAGTGAGAGAGAATGCAGCACAGATGGGGATTCGGTAGAGGCAGTCTGGGTGATAGATGAAGTACAGATTAGGGGAGCTCTGGATGCGAGTGATCACTCCATCCTTTGCCTTGAGATCAGGGGACTGGGGACGTGCAGCAGGTCAAGCACTAGAAGCTGGGACTTCAAGAGGACCAGCTCTGGCCATTGAAGGCCAGATTGGGGAAAGTCTCCTGGGACAGGTTACTGGAAGGCAAGCGAGTTGAGGAGGGGTGGATGGCACTCAAAAGGGAGGTCTTGAAGGCACAAGCCTTGACGATACCTCTAGTCAGTAAGATGGGGAGGCGGAGGAGAGGCCGCCATGGATGCGAAAGGAGGCGGTTAGAGGGATTAGACGCAAGAGGAACCTCCATAGGAAATGGGTGCTGGGGGAAATAGACAAAAGGGTATACCGGGAGGAGGAGGCCCATTGCAGAAGGATTCTTCGCAAGGCTAAGGCTGATGACGAGCTGAGACTTGCCAAGAATATCAAGAGCAACAAAAAGGGCTTCTTTCAGCATGTAAATAGGAAGAGGAAGGGGAGACAAGTAGTGGGACCACTAAATAAGGAGGAAGGAGATCCAGTGACTGATGCGAGGAAACAGGAACAGATGCTAAATGACTGTTTTGCCTCTGTGTTCTCCCCAAAGAAGGACGGGGGAGATCCGCATAGGAGATTAGATGAGGCCGGGGACTTAGGGGCACAGATTAGAGTCACCCCCCTTGAAGTCGAGGGGCTCCTCGGGGCATTGGGCATTACAAAGGTGCCAGGCCCTGAAGGGTTACACCCGAGAGTATTCGAGAGTTGGCAGGGGTTCCCTCACGCCCGCTGGCCTCCATTTTTGAGGCCTCGTGGAGAACGGGTGAAGTTCCAGAGGACTGGAGGGTGTCGTCAGTGGTCCCAATTTCCAAGAAGGGTAGGACAAGGGACATGGGGAATTACAGACCTGTTAGCCTTACATCAATTGTAGGAAAAACAATGGAAAGGCTCAGAATAGTGAGCGATCTAGTGATGCTAGATAGGGAAGGGAGGCTGGTGGCCACACAACACGGCTTCCGCAAAAACAGGTCCTGCCAGACAAACCTTGTGAATTCTATGACAAGGTTTCGAGGTGGCTGGATGGAGGGGATGCAGTGGATGTGGTTTCCCGGGATTTCAGCAAGGCCTTTGACAAAGTGCCCCATGATATCCTGGTGGAGGAACTGAGGAGTTTTGGGATAGACCAATGCACTGTCCGGTGGATTAGGGCATGGCTGACTGACCGAAAGCAGAGGGTAGCCATTGGTGGGGAATCATCGGGATGGTGGCCAGTGACAAGTGGGGTCCCCCAGGGCTCTGTCCTGGGGCCGATCCTGCTTAATCTTTTCATTAACAGCATGGAAGAAGGGGTGAACAGCCTGCTGATCAAATTCGCAGACGATACTGAAACTGGAGCAGTGGCCACAACTGAGGAGCAGGTACTCCAGATCCAAAAGGATCTGGACAGACTATGGAAGTGGGCAGGAGACAACAGGGTGGCGTTCAATGTGGAGAAGTGCAAGGTCTTGCACTTGGGGCATGGGAATGGGTGTCACAAGTACAGGTTAGGGGACAAGTGGCTGGAGAGCAGCGCTTGTGAGAGGGACCTTGGGGTGCTGGTTGACTGCAGGCTGAACATGAGCCAGCAGTGTGATGCGGTGGTCAAGAGGGTGAATGCCACCCTTGGTTGCACAGCCAGAAGTGTGGCTTCTCGATTGAGAGGGGTATTACTGCCACTCTACACGACTCTGGTGCACCCACAACTGGAGTATTGTGCTCAGTTCTGGGCCCCTCGTTACAGGAAGGATATAGCCAGGTTGGAGTCAGAGCAGCGTAGGGCCACATGGTTGGTGGCCGGTTTGCAGGGGATGCTGTATGAGGCGGGACTGAGGGAACTGGGTCTCTTCAGCCTGGAGAAGAGGAGGCTCAGAGGGGATCTGTTGGCGACATACAGGTATGTGAGGGGGTGTCCCACGGAGGTGGGCAAAGACCTGTTCTCCCTGCAGAGGAAGGCAGGACGGGCTCCAGCGGAGCAAAGCTCAGGGAACCAGGTTCCACTTGGATGCCAGGAATTCCTTCCTGATGGTTAGGACCCCGAGGGTGTGGACTGGGCTTCCCCAGGAGGGGGTTGAGGCCCCATCGGTGAGGGTGTTCAAGGACAGGCTGGACATGCACATGGTGGGCATGTCGTGAGCAGAGCCGGCTGGAGCCGGGCTCAGACTAGATGGCCTGGGAGGCCCCTTCTGTTTCTCTGTTTCTGCATCCCATGCATGCTGCAGGTGGCATGCAAGGGAGAGGCTGCCTGGAGAGGGTCCATGCTGGGCTTGATTCTTGTGCACTGGCATGCGAACACTGGGTCCACTGGTCAGGAACTTGGACCCATGGCCATGCCAATGTGGACTGAGTCTGGGGAGCCGAGCCCAGAGAATCCCATGGCTTTCCACCCTAAACCAGACGCAGCACCTTCCTATTTGAGAGAGGCCTAATTGTGGGCTCAGGTCTAAGAGGACTCTCCATGTGAAGATTGGTGGATGGAGCAGCCTTGAACCAGAAGGATCCTCTGCTCCCAAACACACTTTTGAGTTCGGCCATGACCCTGAAGCAGGAACCTGCAACTACAGCTACAAGACTTTTTATTCAACCATCATTTAAATAATGAAGGGTTTTAGACGTTTCAAGATTTTTTGTTTTCTTTTCTGTTTTCAGTCGCATTTCCTATTTTATTTTTTCCTTCTTTTTTTTAGTTTATAATGTTCAATTTTATGTTTTTAATAATTGTGGTTTTATTATTGTATAATTGTAATTTTACATTTTTTAGTTTATAATGTTCAATTTTATGTTTCTAATAATTGTGGTTTTATTATTGTATAATTGTAATTTTACATTATGTAAGCCATCCTGAGTGCTTGTGCAGAAGGACGGGATACAGATGTTGTAATAAAAACAAACAAGCAATCAAATAAATAAATAAATAAATAAATAAATAAATAAATGTTTTCTCATCCATGTTCTCTGTGCATCACACATAGTGGAAACAAACAGGGTGACTTCCCTGGAGGTCAGTTGGTCCCATCACCAGAGTATTGAAGAAAACTTTGCACAGTCAGTCCTGGAGCAGAAGCCCAGTCTGTAACGCTGCATAACCATGGACAATCTTGACCAAATAGCTGCCATCGTAACTCGGGACAGGCTCCAAGCGCAACCAAGGTTTTGACACTGAGTATCGTCTTGGAGGTTTTGGAGGTTT